AGGAGGCTTGCACAAAATCTGCAACGCAAAATCCTGAATGTTTGCAGCTCGGCAATGTTCACCCTGGCATGGCTCTTGCTAAGTGAACAAGCAGAGGTGCCTAATGCTCTGTTAGGGAGATGACAGCACTTGGACCTGCTTGTAGAACTCTTCAGAGCCAGGGCAATGTACAACCACAGATGAACACAGCCTGGGATGTCACCTGGAAGGGTGCTGCAGCTGGGGAAACGGAAGCAGAAGGCAATGAAGTGATTAGCCCAAGGTCAAACAGAGTTTAATTTGCAGGCACAGGAACAGCTCTCAGCCCTGTGGTTTAGCCAACGCACCCAGATGCACTGCTCTAATAAATTGTTCATTAGAGCCTCTGTGGAAACTGCCAGGGCTTCGAGGCCTGAAGTAAGAGAGCCAGTAAAAACTGAGAACTTCCCTTCAGCAGAAAAAGTCCAACTTCAAGTCAAAGAGTTAAAGTTTCAGGAGACACTGAATTTCTATTACTGAAACATGCAAACCTGCAGTTTCATTACATGAAACTCCAAACCTGAGAAGTGACTGTTGTCAGGGTGTGCAAAATGCTTCATTCACTCATATTCCAAGCCTTAGGTAGTAAATGATCACAGAATATAAAAGTTAAATGCTAATCTCCAAATGAAGTGCTTCAGTCTTATCTGAGTGAATCACTGCTATCACTTGCCGTCAGAAATGTTGTCAGAACTGCTAACTTCTTACAAAACATTTTGATTCAATAAGATCAACATTTTCCAGCATTATGCTGGAAAACTTGGATCCACTCAATCTGTGAGCGAGGCACTACGAACGGATTCTGGGACCTTAAAATAGCCTGTTTTGCATCTGTGTGCTTTTTCTGAAGCACACAGAACTCTCATAACACAGGGAAATCTTTTTACAAGGAAGATTTCCAAGATACAGCAAGATCACGTCAAACCTGCATGTCGATCTCCATCCTGCAGCCTATTTAGAGCAGCCTTTCCAAACTAGTCAAGATGTAAACTGAAAGTCTACAATTCGTGCTTTGTTATTTCCCCAGGGTAAAGAGCATGTTTTTCTTCTCTGCTGCACAGACAATGTTTGGATGTTTTCAGGAGGAAAAGTAAATGTTGTGAGTTGAGAAAGGAGCTCACAACATGTTGTCCCTTTAGGTAGGAAGCATATCAATACTTGTACTCACGCAAACATGGAACTAACAATGAACAAAGGCTCTTCCTTTTGCGTTGCAGCTACCTGGCATATCTTAGGGTGTGGGCATCTCACTCCTTACACACATCTACGTTGTCAGCACAGCTCTGTAGTTGGGTCTGCTGCTTGCAAACAATACAGCCCACAAAAATACACAGGTGCAGCAAAGTCCTTCCAGCAAATCATCTGCATGTTGGTAAATGCAGTCCTGGAGAGAAGATATTCCAAAAATTCAGCATGGACAAAGCAAACTCAGCAACTATGCAGGCTTTTGCCACCAAGACCTTTCACCCTTCCCTAGCACAAACAGCAGAGCCCAAACTCCCTCAACTAATCAGTTTTTCTTCTGTGAATGAGGCTAGAAAGGTGGGCCTGAAGTCCCTGTGTGCCGTCTTACTACGGTCCTCAGTGCAGTACAAATTAAACTTTAAAGCTTAGTAGACTTCACAGAGGACAATCATGAGCTCGCAGGCAGAAGAGACAACAAGAGCCAAGCTCAAACAAGACAACCAAACAGTAAGAGGCTCCCCCGCAAATCCTCAGGCTCCAGCTCCCTTTCCTAACTATTGCTAGCAAATTGACAGGACTGTCAAGAAATATTTTAAAAATATCGTCACAAGACACTTAATCAGACTAAGCACAGTTTGGAAAGTTTGAGTCCAAATGCACTTTTGTGCAAACTACTTTTTTCCTTATCATCTCTCAGCCCTTTAGCATTACTACTACTGTTACACAGATATAATCTACAGCATGTCAGTACTGTTGTCCTACGATGTTAGGTAGAGTATAAAACCAGAATGAAAAGAGACCACCTGCCCCCCCAAAACCTTATCTGTCCTCCTTCATTAAAGGGTATTTGGTCTTTAATGATAGTCAAGTACCACTCCTGCTGAAGCAGGAGGGAATCTAAGGGAATTCGGATGCGGAGAAAGAACAGGGGCAAACTCAAACTCCAGAATTTGTACTGGATCTGGACAGTTCCATCCCACCTTAGGGAACGCCTGTTTCCCAAACTGATTCCAAACACGTCACTTGCATGAGTGGCAGCCTCTGCTTCCTCTGAAAATATATGGAAAAGTGATCCCTTTGCTTCCACAGGAGCAACATCAGGGACCCAGCCTGGGAAACTGTCCCATGCACAGATGTAAAGCCCTTCGCATGTACAAATCAGCCAGCTGGGTAGCAATGACCCACACATCTCACAAGCCTTTTCAGGTCCATTTCGCTGCAAAGAAGCAGTGCCTATACTCAGGTTTCATATATTTCAAACTGCCAGGGCCAAAGACTCCAGAAGAGAGATTTCTAGCAATAAATAACATTAATGACACAAGCAGACAGAGCTTCCTGTCCCAAGAGCTCCAAAGGCACATGAAAAACTACACTATAAATGTCACCACCACAGACACCAACACTGATGAGGAGCCACTCGGGGGGAAGGCAGGCAGCATGGGCTTCCTCCCAGTGACACTCAGGAAACCAAGCCTGGACCTGGGTGAGAAATGCTCCTCAGCACCACAAACCCTTGGCTTTACTTAGCGGCAAACTCATGAAGTAGCTCCAGACCCCAAATTTCCATCAACCCTAGCCAGAGGACCTTGGTCTTATGCTCTTACCCCCAGTATGGGAAAAAAAAAAAAAAAAAGAGTTCTGAAATCACGACCTGAACAGCAATCAGTGGAGCCAGGAAGAAGTATGGAGGAAATAATTTTAGACCTAAACCCAAAGGACCAGCTGAGAGGTTAGTTGCAGATATAATAAAACATGCCTGGGGGATATAAGCTGCATCCTCCTGCAGCCAAGTTCACTCTCAAATATGAAAATACTGCGCTGATCATAAAAGGCTTACGACAACACAATTTCACCCAGGTAAGAGTTTAAACACCTATGTGGCATCTTTTTTCTGTTTTTCAGCTCCGTAGTTAAATATCAGCAAAAAACGAGCATAAAGATTTAGGCCTTGTTTTCAGGTACTTATGCTTTATCAATTAAAGGGTCCCTTCTCTGTTCCCACAGTGCCTGGCTCTCTGTCCACCTGCAGAAGAAAATCAGCAGTAGACCTTCACCAACAGCTCAACTGTACGCCCAGGACAGCTCATTTCAAGCTCTCCCTTGTCAGTATTTCTGCAGAATTCAGAATTTACCAAAAATGGTCATCATAACTTCAGGAGCCAAAAGAAACAGTGGAGCAGGGACACCCCCGCCAACTTGACCATTTCCTCCTGAGCCCCTTCCAAGGCGGGACTTGCTCCTTGTCCTGCTTTCAAGCTCCCTTCACTCATCGCGTGCCTGCCAAGATCAGAAACCTGATGTGTCCTTCAAGGGGACCCGGAGTGCTGCTCTACCAGACTCCCGGGACTGTTTCAAAGTGGTTTTCGTGGCTGGGCCTGCACGGGGCCTAGGCAAACACAACCAACACTGTATCTTTAAAACCACTTCAGTGCAGATGTTGTTTCCATGGTAACTAGTGGACCAAATACATTAGTGTTTCTAATAATAAACCGAACCTTCATCTTGGAAAATGTGATTCCCCCCCGCTTCTTTTACCGTGGCCACCCTCCTTTCTTCCTTTCCCCTCCCCTTTTGCTGAATTAAGCCAGCATTTAACAAGCAAGGCATAATTAGTAAATAATTGGACGGGCCCCGTAGCTCCCAGTGCCCAAGCAGATGGAGGAGCATCGCACGGAGCACAGCAGAGGCGGCGGGGGCCTTTGCTATACGAACGCGGGAGCTGTCCAGAAAAAGGATGAACTCCTTAAAAACACAAAAACAAAACAAAAGAAATCCAAATTAAAACAAAAAGAAGGAAGAGACAAGCCCCCTCCAACTGCCCTGGCACCAACTTTGGTGCCCTGGCATCCACTCCGTACTCTGAGTCAGGGTGTTAGTAGCTCCACGGCACCAGTAATTTCTAGGAATCCTTCACTTTTCCAGCAGCTCCATCCGAGCAACAGCACCGACTTCCTTCCTTTTTTTTTTTTCCTTTTTTTTTCTTTTTTTTTTCTTTTTGCACAAAGCTGCAGAAACTTCAGGGGTGCCCCTCCGACTCTTCCCTATCCCGTTAGCGCACGAGGTGCTTCTTCCCAAGTCCTGGAGCCACCAGAGAGGCTTGGAAAAGCCCCAGCTGCAGAAGCGCAGCCCGGGGGAGATGTTCACAAACGAGACACGTGCAGCAATTCGGCTGCCGGGACCCGAAAGCGGTTAAAGCGCCAGGATGTGCCAGTCCACCCCCCCATCACCATCATCATCGTTGTAGTTGTCGCGTTTTAGCGGCGTTCATATTCAAACACACAGCGCAGGGAAGGAGCAAGGGGGGTGTGCACCAAGCTGATGGGGAGCACCGATGCAGCAGCAACCCCAGTGCATCCCACGGTCCCACCTCCAGCGAGGACGGGGGTGGAAAATAGGGGTGGAAAAGAGGAAAAGGGCGGCAGCGAGGGGCACGGAGAAAAGAAAAGGCGCAGCAGGGGGTCCGGAGGAAGCGGGAAGGCATCCAGCTTTCACAGTGCCGGTGACATTTCAATGCAGCAGGGGCTTTTCCATGCCCGGCTGGGTTTGGGTTTTTTTTTTTTTTTTTTTAGGTCATTGCCACAGTGCACGGAGGCCCCCATGCGTGGGGACCCACAGCCGTGCCCACCGCTGGCCCCCAGTCTGAATGTCACGCGAAATAAAAATAAATAAATATTCTTTTTTTTAAAAAAAGGAGCTCTGTTTGGGTTTCTTTCTTCCCAAAATCCCAATAGCTTCTTTCTTGGCTTATATATATATATACAGACATATTTTTTCTGCATGTTATTGGCAGGACTTACCATGTCTGGGCTGAGCTGGGCTAAGATGGCGAAGGTGGCGAGTCTGTCACAGAGGCATTTAGTTCGGAAGGAGTCGAGCGGGACCGTTCGGCAGCCGCGCCAGGAACAGGGGCCGCGCGGCG